TAATGAATAAGGAGTTAAGTGAAGTATAAATGTGTTATATTATGCCAAATAGCCATTTCTACTCGTGTATGCATGATATGCCTATGTAAACGAATACTTGAATGATGAAATTGAACACATGGGGAGGCTGCCACATATTATTAATACGTAGGGGCTCCCATATGTGAATAAATGTTTTGTAAGAATAATCTTAATAGTAATGAAATACTAGTTAAGGATTGTTCAAATTGTTGATAGAATCAAACCTAAGGTTTGCATAGTATTGTGATGAAATTGATGGACTTCAAGTGTCATTTGTGTCTTAGTGTGAACTAAGGTTAAGTTGAGGGCAATCCATAGGATTTCCCAAGATAGCTTTATGTATGACAATTCTAGGCATAGTGAGTGCTTATGAATTGGGGTCTATGCCAATGTAAGGAGATGCACTTGAGCCCGAGCTCTAGAATTGCATTGGGTAGACATAAGATTTAGGTTCAGCCCATGTAAGGAGATGCACTTGAGCCCGAGCTCTAGAATTGCATGGGTGGACATGGTGTCGGAAATTGATGAGGTAATATAAGGTTTGGAACCTAGGGTCAAATCTATGCCAATGTAAGGAGATGCACTTGAGTCCGAGCTCTAGAATTGCATTGGGTAGATATAGCGTGGACACATTAGGGTTGGGCCCTATGTATTGTCGTGACTAGTGGTCACGAGGTTTGGGTTATGTTTTGTGATAAACATGGGCCTACGGGTCGACTACTTGACTTTATATAAAGTAAGTATATTTTGAAAAAGGGGTAACTTGTGGTTACGTCCTAGATTATATTATCACCCTACTTGAGGGTCTTGTGTATGAAATACTTGTTGTATAACTATTAGATGTCTGCCACACCATTACTTTATAGCCGTATAGAGTACTGACCCCTTCGGGGGCGTCCTACCACCATTTCAGGTTGAGGCTAGAGCTTGCATCTTGTGCTCGTTAATCGAGTGATTTCCCAGAGAGAAGACTTGGTTCGTGCTTCCTCCATTCTGTTTGAAACATTAATAAATTTGCTCATGGATATTTTAATTGGAGCTTGCGTGCTCATGTTTTGCCCTATGTGGCATTTGATTTCAAACTATGTTTCCGCTGCGTATTTAATTGCTTATTATGCATGTTTATGGATGACTTATGTGTTAATGATATTCGAGACGCTTTGTATGATATGTATGTGTTTGACTTTGGTTGACTATTCGTATTTTACGGCGGGTTGTTGACGTGTCTGGATCGGTCCGGGGCGTGACATGATTACTCTTTATTTATGTACTGCCGAGGTGACACACAATTACATGTTCTTGTTTATGTGGATGGTTTGATTGTTACTGGAAATAATTCTCTTTCTTTGTCTCGGTTCAAGTAATATCTGCATATTGTTTCCACATGAAGGATTTGGGACCGCTTAAATATTTCTTGGGCGTTGAAGTAGCACGCAGTGCCGAGGGGTTATTTCTTTGTCAACGAAAATGTGCATTGGATATTATCTCCGAAGCTGGTCTCTTTGGTGCTAAACCTTCTCCTTGTCCTATGGAGCCCAATCATTCTCTGGCAATGGCTTCGGGGGATTTAATTTCGGACCCTGAATCTTATCTCCGCCTTGTGGGACTTCTTATTTATTTATCATTTTCTCGTCCGGATTTCGCCTATGTTGTTCATATTTTATCTCAGTTTATGCAGGCACCACGTCAGGAGCATTGACACGCAGCCCTCCGTATAGTTCATTATCTTAAAGGTGCTCCCGACCAAGGCATTCTTCTCTCTTCTTCCTCGGAGTTACATTTCATGGTCTGGTGTGACTCGGATTGAGCGAGTTATCCTCTCACTCGTCGCTCTCTCACTGATTGCTTGATTTTTCTTGGAGGATCTCTTGTCTCTTGGAAGACCAAGAAGCAGCATACGGTCTCACGTTCTTCCGCGGAGGCGGAATACCGATCTATGGCAACGGTTACTACAGAACTCAGATGGCTCAAGGGACTTTTATTGTCTCTCAAGATTGTTCATTCCCGACCTATGTCTTTATTTTGTGACAGTCGCTATGCTCTCCACATTGCTCAGAATCCTGTATTTCATGAACTTATGAAACACATTGAAGTTGATTGTCACTACGTGCGGGATGCTATTCAGGACGGTCTTCTCACGACTCGTCATGTTTCTACCGGTGATCAATTGGCTGACATCTTTACTAAAGCCCTTGGACAACAACATTTTCTTTTTCTTCTTAGCAAGTTGGACATTTTTAATCCCCATGCTCCAACTTGAGGGGACTTGAGGGGGGTGGGGGGTGTTATGGGCTTATTTGTATATTTGTTTAGCTTAGCTTTAATTTTAATTAATGGGCCAAGGGTTCCCTTAAACATGTATATTTATTGTATCTCTGAATGAATAACACACATAATATATTTTTACCTTTATTACTTTCGGTCATACTCCATCAAAACTTTTTTTTTGTGTCCGTCTCGTTCTTACTATGTAGTACGAAGTATTAAATTAAACTATTCCAAATAACATGGAGTTGGAAATGCCAAGTATTGGTTTGCTTCGCTGGCATTACATATACTACGTATAAATTATATAGAAATAATGACGGAAATAGAACTCTAACCTTTTAGTTGGACAAAAATAGGAGTAGTTTTTATTTAGGCAAAAAATGTAAATAAAATTAAGTGAAAAGTCCAAAATGACCTTTCCAATATTCTGCCATATCGACATTTTCTTCCATGCTAGGGCTTCTTCTTCGTGTTGATCAGGAGATGGGTTCTTCTTCTTCTTCTTCTTCTTCTTCTTCTTCTTCTTCTTCTTCACATCAGGCGAGGAGCACCTAACTCCACTAGTGCGACTGTGCGGCAGCAGACGAAGGCGATTCACACCAGAGGAGGCGATCCATATCGGCAAAGGTGACCAGCAACAATGGCAACAACCAACCGGCTCTACTTCATCCTCTTCTTTTCTGCTCCTTGATTTTCGCCATCGCCAATGTTGTAATCGCCATAGGAGGGCAGTGACACATGTAGATGGTTATGGATGACAATTATCGAAGGGGGTCTAATGTCGAACAACGAACCAGATCTGGACTAGAATGACGGCGACTAGGGTTGGGGTTAAGCGTCAACGACTAGATTTAGGGAGGCAACAATAGATTGGACTCAGAGTTGTGGCCGCAACTGCTGTTAACTTCAGTGGAAGGTGCGACACCATCGATTGGGGCTGCGAGTGGGGTAGATGCAGGGGAAGGGTAGGGGGCTGAGAAAGGGCCAGGTGGGGATGTAAGTTGTGGACCTTGGTGGGGCAGTGGTCGGTAGAGACGCTGCTTGGGAACAGTGGTGATCGTCGAAGATGTTGCTTGGGAACGACAATGATCACTATCTAGGGCAATGTTGGTCACCGGGGGCAGAGTTGGTCACTGACGGGAGCGGCGGTTGTAATTGGACGGACGACGGATGTCACTAGCGGGTAACTGTCGCTGACGATGGCGGATCATTGATGGCAGGGTAACTATCACTAGTGGCGGAAGCGGTCACTTTGGCATTTGGTCACTGGGCCGTCTGGTCATGGCCACTGTTAACTAGTCATTGTGGTTTTTTTTAAAGGAACTAGTCACTATGGTTAAAGGATATAAAAGTTGCTTTAGTCTCATTTTTAGATTTTTTGAAAGTAGTCTCATGTTTGTCTACCTCAACTATATATTCATTTAATTTTACACTTGAAATCGATCATAAACTTTTTTATCATCAAATCCAACACTTATATTAAACCATTAGGAAACGGATCGTTATAACAAACTCAAAAGGATCAACCCTGACAAAAACTATTCCTAACCAACTATCACAATCAACCCTACGGCTAGAATATGATACGATTACCCATGAAAGAGCAATACGAATCGCTAACCACCAAGCGGGTGTAAACAACAATCACTGGCCATATAGATCCTTCTAATGACATAATATCTAGCAGAATTGACAATCATTATTGTTGACCTAAAACTAAAGTTCTCAACAAAAAACGAAACGCCCTAAACAAACATAACACGAAAATAAGACCATAAAAAATAGAATAACTGAAAAATACTTCAAACTTCTTTCTGATTGTTTTCTTGAAATATCATCTTCCAAATCCCGACATCTCGATCAATCCAAGACGGTGGTTCAGGAGGGGGACGACCCGCCAATCTGTATTCTCCCTTGCTCAGCCCTTCGTCGCTCCCCGTATGCTCATAACCCGTGCCGAGAGCTGGAACTAAATCTGTCAACCATTGATCCGTGGCTAGTTTGTCAATACCCCGCCTCTTGCTGTTGTAGCGCGAATCGAATTATTAGAATTCAGCCAGATCCATCATAAACTTTAAATCTTTAATTTTGAATGTGAACTCTTCAAATTATACAAGTAATCTTTTTGGCTTATGAGGACTTTTCCGCATGAGCCTTTTGACTTATGATATGCTTCTTATGCTTAAAAGTCAAAAAGCAAAAGATGAATACGAACTACTCCGTACTTTATTTTTACTCCGACCACAATTTGATTCCCTAAAGTACATTGCGACAAATAATGGCCACGTTAGGTAAATACCTCAAAGTAACAAAACACTCGGATTTCGGATTCTGCCGAAAACATTTGGTTAAACTACAACAAAAAAGCACAATAGTTAAATATGGATTCCTGTGATATAAACACTGTTTAGTTTTGATTGAAGTAAAAAGCAAACACTTCATTTTCCACTTTTAACCCCTTTTTTTATCTGCCACTACACCCAATTAGAAGTTCAAAATCTCCAAATTTAACAGTTTGGACTCCTAATCTCTCCCTACTACAAATGGTCTTAAATGAATTCTCATTTGGTAAAAAAAGGTGAATTCTCAGTGGTCAAATTTATTGGCTAGCTATAATTAATAATTAATAATAACACCAAGGATGAATAAAAGATCTATACTATTCAAAAACATTATTGAAATAAAACTTTTTCGAAAAAATGTTTTTTTTGCTCGAAGAAGACTTAATTCATAAAAATAGCATTCAGCAAGGGTATAGAACTAGAAAAAAACCACAAATAACCATCCGGTCGTGGCCGAGACTGAGAGCTAACCACCTGTAAAAAAGCAGTATAACTCGCTAGACCAAAATTGGGCAATTTAGAGCTAATGACGGTTACCGCAGATTCTTTCTCCCCCCACCTTAATGCAAGAGTCTTACAGCAAAGGAAACAATAAAAGTAAAACAGAACAGTCTGACCATGGAAATTAAAAAGCAAGCAAATAATAAAATTAAAATACTGCCTCCAAACCCTAGACTCTCCTACACTCCATGGCGGCGGCTCAGGAGGGGGACAGTCCAACAATACTGAATCATCTTCCGCTCCTTGCCTCCGATCCAGATCTGATCCAGCCCTTAGCCCCACACTTCGTCCATGACTTTTTGATCTCCACCATGAACGATCTTTGGTCTTCAATCTTGATCCGTCCATTCGCCTGAGTCCCAGCCGAGACCATTTTGGTTCCTGTTCTTCGCCGACCTTTTGATCCCCACAAGCCAACCCAAGAGATGACCTCTTGATTAAACTAAAAGCCCTGCCCAAAACTCGATCCCAGCCGAAGCCGAGATCGGAACTCAAAACCAGCCCTAGCGGCGGAAATCAAAAACAGCCCTAGCAGCGGAACGCCCTAGGAAGAACGAAGGTTAAGAGAGTTACGCTCTCGCTCCGTTTCCAAAAGTGATCACTAATTTATATCCAGCGTAAAAAAATGTTAAATAAATATTATTATTATTAATATTATTATTATTATGAAAAAGTCAATTAATACTATCAACTCAAATATCAGCACCCAATTAAATTCATGAATACATATAAATTTTTAAAATTGACACCAATCTCCTTATTCTTAGGGAAACTTCGATGGTAGCCGGTGGTAGCATTTGATATGACTTATTTTTTTATTTTCTTTCTTTCTTTCTTTCTTTCTTTCTTTCTTTCTTTCTTTCTTCCTTCCTTCCTTCCTTCCTTCCTTCCTTCCTTCCTTCCTTCCTTCCTTCCTTCCTTCCTTCCTTCCTTCCTTCCTTCCTTCCTTCCTTCCTTCCTTCCTTCCTTCCTTCCTTCCTTCCTTCCTTCCTTCCTTCCTTCCTTCCTTCCTTCCTTCCTTCCTTCCTTTTCTTTCTTTGTTTCTTAGGGAAAACTGTCAAATAACTCCTTGTATTATATTCAAATTCAAAAAGTCAATTATGTCCTCCTACTTTAAAATCAATCAATAAGTTTTTCCAGTCACCTGTTTATGTGGCTATCCTACATGTCAATTTTTATGTTTCTTTAAATACAAATCCTTATAAGATAGGTCTCAGCTGCCAGATATGTCATCCCCATCGTCGGCTCCCTTAATTAAATCGGCGGTCATCTCCCCTAAGTAGAGTAGCAGCTCGATCTCTGTGACCGGCCACGCCTTCGCCATCTTCCAGTAGCGGCCATCTCCCTCAATTAGAGGAGCAGCCATCTCCTTCAATTAGAGCAACAGTCGTTTCGTTGGGACCACCATCGCCATCTCCCCCAAATCTAACCGGTCGATGATTATATATATATAGAGTAATCTTCCGGTCAGGAAATTCCTGACCAAAGCGCCGTCCGGCCTCCTCTATTTGGGGGCCTTTCCGGTGATATTGTTTGCTCAAATTTTTTGTGTAGGTTCCTCATCAAGTCTAGTTCATCCATACCAAATTTCAGCTAAAAATTCAATCGGGAAGGTCGTCAAATGATTTTTGCAAGTTAACTGGTCCGGAATATGTATTTTCCGGACCAGTTAACTTGAAAAAATAATTTGACGACCTTCCCTATTGAATTTTTGGCTTAAATTTGGTATGGATGAACTAGACGTGATGAGGAACCTACAAAAACAATTTGAGAAAAAAATATCACCGGCAAGGCTCCCAAATGGAGGAGGCCGGACGGCCCTCCTGTCCGGAAATTCCAGACAGGAATATTCCTATATATATATATGTATGTATATATATAGGGGCCCCTATATATACGAAATACAACATCTTTGATTGCAAAAACCCATGACCAAATTGAGATGATATTTATATATAATCTTATAAAATATTGTGGATTTATTTGATTGCTAGGGCAAGAAAAAGAGGAGGAAGTTAAAATAAGACAAAATAACCGTCTTTTCAAAATCCATCAGAGTGAAAATCCATTAAAATACATATGTAGTGCAACAGATATTGGCATGGTGGCATAGTGCCGAGATTCACCACCCCTTTTTTTAATCTCGCATAGTTCTCTGTCAACTCCGGCGGGCCTTGGAGGAAGAATTGGAAGAAGAGAGCAGTTTGGCGAGAACAGGGCACCGTCCGTGAGTGAGGAAGATAGACATAAAATGGAGTTATTATAAAAGAAATAGAAAACATTAAAAAATCCACGTGGATAGACACATATGCAATCAACCGGAAGACTGATTACTTATCAGTTAAAATCCTTAATTGATTTTTTTTAAAGCTTGAGGAGTCAATTAATTGATTTTAAAATAGGGGGGTCTATTTGACTTGTTAGAAATAGTACAAGGACTTGACAATTTTTCTTCCTTCCTTCCCTCCCTCCCTCCCTCTTACTCTGTCTCCCCCCCTCTCTCTCCCTCTCTCCCTCTCTCCCTCTCTCCCTCCCTCCCTCCCTCCCTCCCTCCCTCCCTCTCTTTCTTTCTTTCTTTCTTACATAATCATCAATAAGACCGTGAGGCATCTGAGCGCCGATCTTCTTCCCTAGCCAATTTCCATATAACTAACACAACCAGTTTGTGAAATTGATCATATTTTTGTAATTAAACTGAAGTCATATACTCACATATATATATATATATATATATATATATATATATGCCATTATTTATTTGATAATTGTTCTAGATAATTAAATTTGAACTATTTTTTATTTGCATATAAATTGAATACAATTCGTGCAGCGCACGTGTAATAAGTCTATGTGTGTATCACCAATGTATCATTCTACTCCGTATCAAAATATTTATGATACTTTTGCGTCAAAATATTTAGTGATGCAACTCCACTCCGTATCACAAAACCTTATGATATTCTATTATCGCAAATTGAAAGCCTATTGGTGACACTAAATTTGGAGTCACATTTTCCAACTTTCTTTGACACAAGTATCTTGTCATTGACTTTCAGTGATAATAATTCAATTCACTCATTCATTTTCATTACCCCAATGCCGCAAAGGCTCCCACCTACGGTGGGGTAAGGGGGTCGGATGTACGCAGTCTTACCCCTGTACTAAAGCACAGAGAGACTGTTCCGGATGACCCATAGTGAAAATCGCGCCCGAAATTGCATGGACTGATTGTTGCTTCATAACAAAGAAGCGAAGACAGTTTAGTGAGTCATTTTGCTTTATTCCATCATATTCTCAAGCAAAAAAATAATGAATCTTTGGCTTCATTGCAAATGATGGGAAAAATAATTCAATTCACTACGGAGTATACAACATTTTTTAATAATATGAGTATACATTGTAGGAAAACTTTAAGGTGTATGATGTGAAGCTTATACGTAGTACTCCCTCCGTCCCATTGGACTTTGTCAACTTTCCTTTTTTGGTTGTCCCAAAAAACTTTGATACTTTCCTATTATTAAAGCAACTAATTTGTGGTTCTGCACATTTCTCTCTCCTCTACACAAATTTCAACCACACCGTTTTTACTATTCTTATTTCTCACCCACTTTGCCCTTGGCAAAGTCCACCGGGACGGAGGGAATATATGTTAGTCATATATACTCGTATTTAAGTAAAAAAAAACTTGTATATACTAAACAATACTCTCAATTTGAAGATACAATTCAATCTTGAAAAATACGAATACATTATAGTTGCAAGTCTTCTTTCAGTTTTGTATCTTAGGAACATGTTGCGTGCTACTACTATATCTGTAATGTGTATTCACAATTTGGATTTTGATCTTTTCGTTCTACTACTTACATATATGAAAATGAAGGGGAGCAAAAGTAGAAAGGGTAATGCAAATGGAAGATGTTTCCAAGAGGTAACATACAAAGCGTTCAACATTCCATAACTCATCACCTGCATCAGAACTTCATAATCAGTATGAATCTACCATAACTGTGTGAATAATAGGGCCGTAAAATTGCTTCATAGTTGACTAAAATAATAGGGCCAAAAAATTCACAAGTAGGAGTATGTATTTTTTTTTTCTTTTTATATATAGGAGTAAGTTACTCATGTTTAGAAGTACGTATGCATGTTCACTTCTCATTATATAGAAGAAAAATACTTGGGGAAGGACTCACATAGATGCACTTGGGCAGGGGCGGATCCAGGAATGCAGAGTGGGGTGGGCTAAGCAATAAAAAAATTGTTACTGCACACAAAAGGTTTAGCTTAACTGCTTAAGGTTGTTATCGAACCAAACTTTTTTTAAGCATTTGAGTTCGAGTGTGATTTCACATTTAATTTAACAACCCGAGCTTAACGAGCTCGAGCGTAGTGATATTCGGTTCGGTTCGCACTCGATCCTGTCGATAACTCACAAATTATAGGAATAAAATTTATATATCTTAATATTTAAATGTTTTAGTGCAATTTTATAATTTTTTTTAATGATTATTAAAAATTCTGGTATTTATTGGTATGAATTAAAGTACTTCTTTAAAGGTATAAAACTAATAAGTAAAAACAATCGGTGTCATATAATTAATAAGTATTCCCAATTTCAAATTTGAATTGAGATTTTTAATTTTTTCGTTTAAAAAAGAACTACAAAATGATCCCCTCAATTTGCATTATTAGTTCTAACTACGCTTGTTGCAAAAACTAGAACTAGATAAGTAATTGGACGATGAAATAAGCATAATAATGAGGGAAAATCGCACTTTTAGTCCCTAAAATAGTCACGAAATTGAAATGTCCGACCCGTGTTCCCAAGTTTGTAAATGTCGTCCTTCAATCGTCCAAAATGCTGTATATGTGATCCTTTGAGAGGTGAATTATACAATGTGGACGAGAGTACATTTCACCACTTAAAGGACCACATTTACAACATTTTAGACAATTGAGGGGGTGATATTTACAATCTCAAAAATATGAGTCTAACATTTCATTTTGGTGACTATTTCAGGGATTAAAACAGTGGATAAAAAGTGACTTAGTTATTAAAATAATTAATTATGTTTAATTTTCACAATTAGAGTGATCTAATAATGTACTCATAGTGACATTATTAGTCAAAAAACGATCCTTATTCTTATGCTAGTAATATTTTAGAAAAAAAACTCATGATAATAATAGTAGTAATTAGTTAATTACTATATTAATAATAGTAATTATAATGTAATACTCCCCGTCCCTAATAATCTTGCCAAGTTTGACTGACACAGAAATTAATAAAGTAAAAACTGTGTGGTAGAGATTTGTGCAGAGGAGAGAGAAATAACTGAAACCACAAATTCTTTACTACTTAAATGAGAAAGTGACAAAGTTAATGGGACATCAAAAAAGGAAAGTTGACAAAGTTCTAAATGACACAGAGAGAATTATAATAATCGTCAAATTAATGTTAGCATAATCATTTTGTAAATTAATGTTGTAATATAAAATATAAAATTCTAAAAATTCAAAGGACATTGATGTGTGGGGTGAGTGGGTGAGATAGGTTTGCACCTAGGACTAGCAAATACGAGTACTGTACTCCGTATTTGAATTTTTGGTCTCATGTTTTCCCACACGGGCTGCAAATATGTTCATCCTCCTGATTTCCCTATAAAATAATTGCTCGAAATAGCCAACAAAGACTACATTAAACCCGTAGCTAGGCTTTATGCACTACCATATGTAGTCATAGTTTGGGCTTTTAAATATGTTTGCATGAGCCACATTATGGGGTGGGCTAAACAACACTTTTAGGGTGGGCTGGATATTAAAGCTATTGCCATATTAATAGAAAAAAATTGGGTTGGGCTGGGCTAAAGCCCACCCCTGTCCCTTCATAGGTCCGCCCCTGCCCATGGGACTACTTTTACTCATATAACTCAATCATATAGATGCATTTTGGGTAACTTTTACGTCTATATAAGTAATTTTACATATAACAAAATTTTTGGTTTTGCGGTATAAACTTTGTAACATTTTGTCCTAAAGACCACTTACAAAGTAACGAAGCATAAAAAGACCAAGAATATATAGAGCTCGCTAGCGTGTTCACTAAGGAGAAAGCTGCGTGATCAATGGTCGGGATTCTCTAGAATATTTTAGTTGAATGAATCTTAGTCATTCATCACGCCAGTGTCTCCATGAATATACTCTTAATTAAGAGACCACTTACCTCCGTAATCACCTTCTTTGACCCTGTTTGCTTTTGCTTCTCAAAGATTAGTTGTGCATATTCATAAAGCTGCATATCTAGGTTGTTTAGTGCACCAATTTCCTCAATAATTCTCTTCGGAACCTGATGTCGACTCTGTTTTAAATTCCAAAGAGTATTATTAAAGTGTAACATTCGCAATATATAACTACACATTTATTTTCTCCCCCGGTCCAATAAAAGAAATCCTATTTGCAACACTTTTTTGATGATCAATTTTCCATCAGAGTAGTTTATTTTACCTCCTGAGTGAAATTTACCGGAGTGATATATTTCACAGACGATGCACGCCTTTGTCTTTGAGATTCAAGTGACCTTTGAATGCACCCTTCATATAATTTCACAAGCTTTCTCGTTGTCTCCTGTTATTATTAATTATTTCTTGAAAATAAGAAAAGAAAAAATAATGGTATATTGATTGGATTGACACAGATTAATTGTGTTTGAAACAGATCAAAACATATTTTTGACATTGCTCCAAATCAAATAGCTTGTGAGAAAACATATTTGGTAGGGATTTATCACGTACTTGTCCGGAACCGTGGATTCATGCCATATTTGTGTCAGAATCTCTACCAAATACTCCCTCCGTCCCAATTTGTTTTGCAAAGTCAACATTTTTTGGTCAATCAATAATAAAAGTCAACCCTCTTTATGGATAATTAACTCAATTTTTAATAATTAAAATTTACATATTCATAAACTACATTAAAATCTCTTCAAAGTTGTAAACACCAAATTAGAATATAATTAAAAATTGACATCCTAATTAAGCGAACAAAACAAAACTGTTTGACCAAGAAAAGTCAAATTTGCAAATCAATTTGGGACGAAGGTAGTATGTTTTGACATGGATAGTCTCGGCCAAATTAGTGATAATAGAGATCTGTTTTGAATCTCTGATGTAAGAATTGTATATGTGCATGTGCTTAACAACATTATATGCTCAAGAACTTTGCATTCATAAGATTTTTGGTATTCATAATTCATCTAAAATTTAGCATGGCATTACTAATTAACTGATATTAAACAAAATATTTGAGAAAGAAATAAGTCCTATAATACTACAACTTGGCATTTTTTTAGTTTGGAAAGTATAATTATTTTAGACAGAAGTACATCTCCTTTGAGAAATCAAATAAAAGATCATCCCTACCGTTTTAGAGCTTGAGTTTCTGAATGGATCGATAAGTTCTGCGGAATACAAAATTAACATCATTAGAATATCCATAATGATAATATTTCTTCCTCTTAAATAGTAAATTTGTGTTTAAATACGGAGTAACTATATAAAAGAGAGATACTGATGTTTCAAAAAACGAAAAAATGTTAGATAATAATGTTTTATAATATTTCCTCCTTTTTTAACTATCACATATTTTTCTTTGGAAAGTTTTTTAGTCCGTATTATTTATCTACCTTTCCATTTTTAGTAAGTTTTTCTTATAAAAAGAGTTTTATTATTCATACTTTTTAGTTTATATTTATACAAACTCCTATCTGTTTCCTACGGAGTATTTTTCATTATTTTCTTCCTCTTCTTCTTCTTCTTCATGTTTTTGGGAAAAAATCTCGAAAGAAGAGTAAAAATGTTTAAGAATTCCAAAAAAGGACTACTACGTTTTTCTTCAGTAAATAGGAGTACGTTACTGTAATCCTGAAAATCTACTGTCATGTTTTGACATTACCAGTCTTTAAACATAATAGTATACTCATACACTGTCAAAAGTGGTAGTATTTTTTATGCTTGACAAAAGTAATTACTCTTATTTAATGAATAAAACATAACACTCATATTTTGGAATTTTCAAACCTAACGTTTTACTCCTATTTAGGGTAATTTCTTTAATATTTTATATTTCTTACTTTTTCATTTATCCTACACCATCTATATGACTCCTACTATTTTCTGCTTAAAACGCACACAAAGTACTCAATCGGACACTTAAAAAAGAACGGAGAGAATAACATAAACTAATGTTTTATAATGATATATACTAACTTGAATGGTTGATAGTGGAACCATTTACACTAAATCGCGATTGAGCTAATTTAGATATCACTTGATCACCAACCACACTTGCAAATAAAGCAGCTGATTCTTTGTGTTTATCAGTGAGCCCAATATACAACATACCATCCAACCTCCTCTGCATGATTCACAATATAGTTCAAGAATCTAACTTAATATCATTTCATACATTATGCATGTAGAAAAAATAAGTAAGCCATATATATTTACCATAAATATTAAATAAGAGTATATAGCTTTATATATGAAGTCTTTCATATTTACCTTGGCAACTTCAAGAACATATTCACCAAGAGTTTGGTATTTCAATACACATTTGCGCACATCATTTGACTCTTTTGAGTAAGAGTTGTTTGTGAGTCCTGCAACCTATTAATAAATTGGTGTTACTTGAATTAGACTCATCTTACCTATACGCTTAATAGTTTGACAGTTTCACCTGACATTTATAATTTATAAATTATTATGTCTTAACATACTCAAATAAAAAGTGCAGACAAAAATGTAGTCATGAAAAATTGAAAGTTTACAATTGGAAAAAATTAGTCCACAAAAGGTATGATAGGGTACCTGAAATGTGGCACCGTTGTGAACAAGATCCAATGCAATAGGATCATTGATGAATTGGTGCAAAGGCATCACAATATCTCCCATATTGTATGGCTCATTGGTTTTTATAAGATTTTCACCCTTCACTTCTCTCATATTTTTCTAAAGAAGAAAAAGTAAGAGAAATTTACTTATGTAGTCCCATAATGTACGTTTTGTGCTTATAATTATTGTTGTAACTTTACTAACATATCATGTCGTGTAATTAATTTATTTGTCTACGTTATTGAGAATTTCTTCATAAGAATGTACAACTTCTAGTAAAAATTATTCTCGAAAAGTTGTCATTGACATGGAATTTTCAAGCGAAAACAAAAAAACATTTTTGCGGTAAAGTGTTTAATAAAGTCAAATTTATTAGTTACAAGACGTAAGTACGGTGATAAGGATAAAAGTTACAGGACTATTGTATTAATGGGTACAATCATAAGTTAATGGCTAACTAAATACTACCTTCGTCCCTAAAAACTCTGCCATCTTTGACTTTTCAAGTCAATGGTGGTAAAGTTTGGACCATGATTTTGATTAGTATAATATTATGAAAGTGGTAAGTTTTATACTTTTATGAAAGTACTTTTAACAAAGAATGTTTTCACATAATTTTTATATTATAAATAATTTTCTACAAAGATATATAATTGGTCAAAATTGAACATGGTTGATCAAAAAATTCAAAGATGGCAAAGTTTTAAGGGACGGAGGGAATATGCAATTTTCTCATAAAGTAATGTGTAACTATCATATTGTTACTTTGAGGAAAGATGACTCATCGTCATCATTACTCCAGTACCGCAAAGGCTACCCACCTACGATGGAGGTAAGGGGTGTCGGATGTATGCAACCTTACCCATGTAGCACATAGAGTCTGTTTTCGGATGACCCATAGTGAGAAAAAATGATTATGAGAGAATATAACAACAATAGTACTTGAGGTATAAGATAGAATGCAATAGAGGTTATTTCATTTGAATAGTAATTAAGAAAACTTACTCGAGCAAATAGATCTTCTATCATCCATGGAGCCAAGTACTTCCATGGCCATATATCTAGGGTGTTTCCTCCTAGTTTCTCAACACTAACAGGTCGACGATTAGCCACTTCAGTAGCATATGTTAAATTGGGAAACATTAGTGACCTGGCTGCAACCTCCACAGAAAATTCATAAGAACTAAACACACGATCTACTGGATTCCTAATAACTGTCACCACAGAAGTTTTATCATATGGTAGCTTAGACATCAAGCTGTAATCATCATGAGTTACAGTCAAGTTGCATCCTGGATTCCTGCACATGTTGTGAAGGGTATAATAGTCCTCATATATACAACCAACAAGTTTTGCAAGTCAAAAATGCTTTTTGCCAAATCTCGGTTGCTACTAAAGCACGCTTAACTATGGAGTTCTTAATTTCAATGGTTATCAAATCTCATCCAGTCATCCTTTAACTTAATTTAGTGATATGTGGGTGGGCGTTCACAATTTAACCGTTTCTCTTTGAATTGCTAAAAACTTGTTTAGAATGTGCCTAGTGTAGTCTACAATATTTCATACACTTATTTTGCTTAAAACATAGTAATTCAAAGAAATATCAAAACCAAGTTACCTTGGATCAAACCTTAACTCATCATAGGAAAGTGGGCACTTTGAAGAGGGATCATAGAGCTTCTCCAGAAAACTTTAAACAAACAAATGTAAGAAAAAGGGCCAAAAGAAGCTTAATGTGAGTTGCAATGAGAGGGCATTGGTTTGTAATTCAAGAAGATAGAAAGTACCAATGGAAATAATTCTTTCCCCCTGTCCTGGGAACGTGAAGGAAAAATAACAAATCCTTCAATGTCTTTTGATCTTCAAAGACTTCAAATTCTTGGGAAGACGAAGCCCATTTCTTGACGATGGTTTCACACTGCTTGAAAGATGATTTGGAGTTGGTTTTGTCAATTGTTGCAAAAACTGGTCAATACATTTCAAAATTTCAATTTAGCACATATCCAATAAAACTTCTATCTATCTATTGGCTAAATTCTACTAAGAAGTGCATGCGAACCATGAGCATGTAATTTCCTCTTCTAGGGTAGTGGAACAAAATTTGGAAGGTTTTCTAAATAGGAAGAATTCTTAGTATGTGTGTCACCAAGGGCATAGCATTAGGTGTGGGTTCGGTTTATTTGGTTGTATTTTGACCACAAACCAAATACAAAACCGGAGTAGAAAGTTTGATTCGGTTTCAGTTTGATTTACATTTCAAATCTTGAAACCATAGTATAATTGGTTCAGTTTATTTCGATTCAATTTCAGGTTTTTTGGTTCTTTATTAAAAATTGTCATTTGATTTAAAATGATATGATAGTTGGTGGAATAAAACATACTCCCTCTATCCCATTGGACTTTGCCAACTTTCCTTTTTTGGTTGTCCCAAAAAACTTTGTCACTTTCCTATTAAAGCAACTAAATTGTGGTTCTGCACATTTCTCTCTCCTCTGCACAAATCTCAATTCAACCACACAGTTTTGACTATTCTTAATTCTCACCCACTTTGCACTTGGCAAAGTCCACCGGGATGGAGGTAGTATTACATAATAAATGCAAGCATACCAAAATAAAAAAAAATAGGAAAAATAGACAAGAATAATCCCAACTATTGGTGATCGACTTGAAATAATCCAAACTATCAATTATCTAAAAACAATCCCAACTATTAGAAAATATTCTCAAAATGCTCCGCTGGCTCATACATAGTATAAGCAAATTAAGGGTTATTTGAAGTCATTGGAGCATTTTGAGATTTTTTTCAATAGTTGGGATTATTTTGAGAAACTTGATACTTGAGATTATTTCAAGCAGATCACTAATAGTTGAGATTATTCATGTTCATTTTTCCTAAAACATATTCTAAAAAAATAATAAAAATAAATATGTCTTAAATTATACGAGTATGTGAGAGAGATAAGAGTGTAAATATTATCAATTTACATTGTTCATGACTAGTATGAAAAAGATTCATGAATATATACGTTATATGTGATAAAGTTGGACAGTTAAGATACATAGAGACTTAGACAGTTATAATATAAAATACACAGAGACCATACACATATCAGAGCATACCCGTTCACACTAGACCATAAAATTTTAGTTCAATTAAAAACATCATACAAGTGTGTGTGTATATATATAGAAAAATTACAAAAGGAATGTGTTTAATAATAAGCAACAGAATAAACATACCGTATGTGAAAAGGAATAGCCTAAAGACCACCATCCAACAATTAATCGTCTTTCTCATATTTCCACCTGAAGTCCATCAATATTGAAAATATTGTAACAGATTCGCTAAAATTGAAGTTAATGCCAATCGACAACACTTCAGGATGATGAAGACTATTTCATCTATCCGATTTACTCTAGTTATGACTCACCTCACAAACTAGTTACTGCGCTCAAACGCTTCAAGTCATCACACACGGAGGCAAAGACATATCCTCCTTATCTTCAACGGGCCATTCGTTTTCACAATAAATACAACCGGTCCCTCTCAACCTCTATAGGGATGCCTCAAAAAAACTTTGATTGTTAACTCTTTCTTTTGTGTTTTACCTTGTACTTTTTCATTTCAATTATGGTAGTGTAATTTTAGTTTTTTAATAAAATTGGAAAGTGTTCTCCGGCGCTTTCCCCACTTCTAGTGGCTTCTCCGGGACACAAAAAAAAGTTGTAACTGAAGTTAACATTTAGTATTGATTATTTATCAAGCAAAACGTTTTATTTAAGACATGGACGACGTACCGGTCCTGAACTACAATATATTGGAATGTACAACTCGTTTCTGTATCACTTGTTCTATTCTCAGGTGTATGGTAGTTGCCCCTGAAAGTGTGACACAACGTAATTATTTAATTAACACATTCGCAACATTTCCCCCCGGGTGGTCTGGGGGTTGGGGGAGCCTGGAGTAATCAGGATTGTAACTCATTCCATTGAGTTTCAAACCCTAATGTGCCTAGCGGATTTTGAACTCGAGACCTCTACTGGCCACGTTAAGCTCACAATCAGCTGGGCTGGAATGTTTGGTTTCACAATATCTTATACTTTTCAAATATTTTTCAAAGTATAGAAATTGTGGTTGAGAACTTGAGACTTGGCTTTTTAAAAAGAGATATACGAGTAGATATTACGAAGTATAAAAGGAGATTTAGAGGCCGTTTGGCAACACTGTTTTTCGGCTTATCATGCTTATCAGCCAACTTTTTCACGTAATTTTTGCTTTCGCGCGCTGAATTGTGTAATAAGCAAAAAAGGTAAGGTTGGAGTTACTTTTCTGAATGTATTGGCTGAAGTTACTGTAGATGACCATTTTAGCTATTTTTACATATAATTTTTTCTTTATTTTATTAATAAAATATATTTTAAAAATAATTTTTTCTTAAACCAGCAGAATTAGCCAATGCAGCCACTTCAGCCAGAAATTCATAAATTTCAGCAGAATCAGCCAAAACAGCTGATTTTCGTGCTACCAAACGGGCTCTTACTATTTTCATACTATAAGAATGTAATATACGGAGTAGCAAGTATCCGCTATTATTCTTATAGCTTCACTCTAATATACGTAGACTTCTTTAGGAGAAGTAGTATATTGTGGTGAGAAACTTGATTACTTCATCCCTCCCATAAAATTCTTCTCACATTCCATTTTGGGCCGCTCCAAAAAATTCTTCCCATTTACCATTTTTGAACAATTTGTTTGGTTCACATTTATTTCACATTTTTCTTACACAACCACAACCGTACATTTCCACTTTATTTCATTTTCTTAATCCATGTGCCAAGTCAAAGTGGGAAGAATTTTCTGGGACGGAGGGAGTATATTTCAGTGAGAAAGTTATTTATATAATACATTTAATTGTTATAGCCTTATAGGACAACAATTATAGTTATAGGACAACAATTGCAAGTGTGTGAAGTTTTATAAGAATAAAAATAAGCATGTATGTGCATAAGTTTGGGACTGAAATTGTAAATTTCTAAAGTACGTAGTACTCCGTATAAAATATGTATAACTCCACCCAATTAGACTTTTTTAACTTTCTTTCTATTTATCTCAAACGTTTTATCATTTTCTTTTTAAAAGCAATAAATTTATTTCTCTCTTCTATATACAAACTCCAATCATACTACTTTTACTTTTCTTATTTCGGAAATTGTCCTAAATAGGACTAATGAGTTCCTAAAAAGCACAAATAGGACTACTACTTTTTAAATTCCCTAAATAGGACTAAACATAGATTTTCTACCCTAAATACCCCTAAGAGTATTAATTCATAATGAAATGCTTTAATTCATAATAAAATCATAAAAAACGTAAAAAATATTTAAAAAACGTAAAAAAAATTATAAAAAATTTATAAAACATTTATAAAATAAAAAATTTAATTTTTATTTTTTTAATTTTTTTTTTAAAAAATAATAAAAATTAGTAAAAACCCATAAAAAATGAAAAAAATTATGGATACATTTCCCACCGCCATCCGCCGCCTCCCAGCACCACCACCTCCGATTGGTGAAATTTCTTCCACTTTTGGTAAAAAAATGCCATCTTTTTCTGAAAATGCCAAAAAGATGGCATAATTACTCTTCAATATGCCAACATTTTCATTGAATATGCCATCATTATGGCATTATTTAAAATGTTGGCATATTTTTCTCCGGTGATGGGAGCTGGTGGTGTTGGGGGTGGCAGGGGTGGTAATGTTTTTTTTTTTAAATTTTATGATTTTTTTTATTTTTTTTATTTTTTTTAAAAAAAATATTTTTTTTTTAATTTTTTTAAAAAATATTTTTATTAATTTTCTATTATCTTTTTACGATTTTTAGTATTTTTTTAGATTTTTATTATTTTTGTATGATTTTATTACTAATTAAAACATTTCACAAGTTACAAGGGTATATTTGGCCAAACACACATAAATAGTCCTATTAAGGGAATTTAAAAAATGTAGTCCTATTTGTGCAATTTTGCCACTTTTTAGTTCTATTTAGGGAATTGACTCTTCTTATTTCACTCAATAAAAATTTGACAAAAGACTAATGTCCTCATGGGACAAAGGTAATTCCTTAAAAAGGATAGGAGTTAAATTTGGAGATGATAAATTTATGACTATGGTTAGAAATATCTTCCTTCGTCTCAAAAAGATTCGCCAAATTGACTTTTCATAATTAATCAATGACAATCAACTTTAATTTGACCAGTGATATTTTTAATACAAAAATATTTAGAATATGACAATTATATCAAAATGTTCCTTATTCAAAGTATTTCCATAAAAGTACAAAATTTATAAATTATATACAAATATAATACTCTGTAATTAAAATCGTTTGTCCAAAGTTTGTTATAATTGATCAAGAAATTAAAGTCAATATGACAAATCTTTTATGACGGAGGTTATGTTTTTGTACTCCGTAATTTATACAAGAAAAATATTTCACCGATGTATTAGATCGAATAAATTTTTCAAAAGTGTTTTCATGTTTTAGAGTAATTTACATTAAAAAAATTAATTTAAATTTTGAAAACTTCAAGGTCAATAAAGTTTGACGCTTTTAATAAAAAAAAAAGTTTGACGCCAAAAGTAATGGGAAGTTAATAAAAGATACGTAGCTTACTTGCATGCAGCAATGTCACATATGTGTCTGTTTAGCCACCCTGCCGGCCGGCCGATAGTCGAAAAATTAAATCCCAACCGGCCAGTCGTCGCCGGAGGCCCGATTTTTTCAGCTCGTCTATTAGTGAACAGATCCTGTCTTGGAAGGAAAATATAAATAAGCAAGGGGTTACACATTATTATATTAATTGACAAGCTAACCATTCATTAATCCAAACAAGATTAAATTGAGGCGTTATATATATCTTCAATATATTAATTAATTTAACTGCTAATATAATTTATAAAATCAACTCTTCTTAATTAACACAGATTCACTTTTTTTGGATCGCAATTTCTCTTTATTTACTTATTTAACTTAACCCATTTTTATTATATTTTAATTTTGAATTTGTGACTTTATAAGGCTTTCAACTTCGTGTTCAAATATATAATTTTTAATTATTAGAATTGATTTAATTATCTGCAAGAATCATTTAACTTTACCGTCTCTTACAGGAGGGCCGTCTAATGAATTTGGAGGCCCCGGTTCGAAATAGCAAATTGAGGCTCCCTAAGGACCTAAGACGAGAAAATAACACAAATTTTTACAATGAAATACAAATAGACTAGACACTCCAACGAAATATAAGTTTTATGATGTTTAAAGTCCACAAATTAGAGAATCTAAAAGTTATACTACCTCTGTCCCTTAAAACTTTGCCAAGTAAAAACTGTGTAGTAGAGGTTTGTGCAGAGGAGATAGAAATAACAGGAATTTCAAAATATTAATTAAAAGGGAAAGTGACAAAGTTTTTTGGGATGTCCTAAAAAGGAAAGATGACAAAGTTTTAAGAGACGGAAGGAGTATGTATATTGGAATCCTTAATAATATAAAAAATCTAGAAAAATTAATCTATAACTAATACTACTCCCTCCGCCCTCCTAAGTTTGTCTCGTTTTACTTTTTTCGTCGGTCTCATTAAGTTTGTCACATACCATATTTGGTAATATTTGGATGATTACAATTTATTCTTACTTTATTCATAGTTTATCAATTCAATATTAACCATACAATTCCATTTTTTCTCATATGTTGTGCCACACTCTCTTGTCCCAAACATAGTGGGACGAAGGTACATTCTAAATTTTTGGAGGCCCTCTACAAGAGTAGGCCCCGGTGCGAAACACCTATTGCACTTCCTAAAAGACGACCCTCTCTCTTAAATATTACAAGTATACACTACGTTTAGGCTTTAGTTGACTGATAATCAAACCAATAACAGCCGGTTTAATTGGTGTACGTATCAGTTTTTCGAATTTTTCTGTGGCAACCATTTAAGACTTTGAGTATGTTTGGCAACACTGAAATTGATTAAATTAGTTGAAATTAATGAAATTCTGACTGAAGCAATTAAATTGAGTGAATCTGCTAAGTTATGGGAAAAAAATATTTAAAATATTTTTATTGACAGAATAAAGGAAAAATTGTTTGAAAATAGCTAAAATTATTTTATACACACTAAATAATTTAGTCAATGCAACAAAAAACGTAACTCAAATCATATTTATTTTGGTTACTACCTAACTCAGAATTTAAAAGTTAAGTGATTCCCAAAATAGCTAATATATCGAAAATATGAGTTATCAGTCGAGCTCTTTATATATTGCAATTATTGTGTTGTTTATCAGTTTATGTGAAGATGGTTGAGTTTGAAACTTGTAGATCTTTCCACTTTGTAGATTGTCTTATTGAGTTGAATTTAATTTACATGTTGCAAGTTAAACTTAGGGTTCGTTTGGTAGTTTACACGTTAAATCTTTGCACGTGAAGTGATTGCATTCAAAGTATAGGGAATCAATCATTTTGCATGTAAAATAGATTACATTGTTTGGCTAGATGTGCGATTTATTTTATACTTGCACGCAAAGTCGTTGCAGTGCTTCATAAAAGGCATGCAAAATGTTTTTAAAAAATGTCCTACAGTTTACATTAAATAATCAAACCAAATTGTGTAAACATTTTACGTCCTTACGTTTCACATGCAAAGTAATTATTTTACATCCTCCCAATATTTTCCAAACCGATCTTCATAACAATTAACAAAACAGGTGATGACCTTCTATGAAGAAGCTTTTTGAGTTTGGAATTCATAGATCTTTCAATTCAATTCGTAAATTGTTTTATTGAGTTGGATTTATTTTACAAGTTACAATTCACATTCAAAAAACTCTTCTTACCGATTCCTTGATTTGCTACATTGAGAAAGATATTTTGGAAGTATCAATCATCAATGTTTTGGAAGTATCAATTTGGGGTGTTATAGTATCAATCATCAATCATGATAAAAATGAGTGTGTAGGTCGCAATGGCATTGTCACAATTCACAAAAGATGTCTCCTTAAATTTTGTAAATAATTTTAGTCAAATCTATCATCATCACATTTAGAGTCTGATTTGAGTGTTTCAAATCTTGCTTGTATGACTGTATGTAACATACTACCTCCATCCCTAATGCCTTGTTTGGTTGGAGGGTTTTGGAGGGGAGGGGAGGAAAGTGGAGGATTTGTGTGTGTTTGGTTAAAGGAAATAGGGGGAAGGGGAGGAAAGTGAGAGACTTCAAAAATCCTCCACTTTCCCCCATTTTAAACCCAAATTGGGGTATTTCGGAGGAAACATGTTGAAAACTACAACTATCCATCTCTTACGTGAATGGACAAAATGTTATAATTCAAAAAAGATAAGAAATAAAAAGTATTGAAAAATTTTAAAAATTAAAAATTAAAAATTAAAAATTTTAAAGATTAGAAAATGAAAAATTAAAAAAATGGAAAAAGTTAAGAAAATTAAAAATCAAAAAATTTTAAAAAAATCAAAAAATCAAAAAAGTAAATAATAAATAATAAAAAATTATAAAATTAAAAAAGTAAAAAAAAAAAATATTATGACTCATGACCATAGAAGTATTATTCACAATAGTTAGAAATGCATCTATTTTTTAAGTAATCTATCAAATAAAAATAAATTGGAAAAATATTTTCATCAAACCCTTCCTCTTATTTCCTCCAACCAAACACAATTTTTTACCAAAACCCTTCCTTCTCCTTCTCTTCCCTTCCCTCCTTGACTCTTCCCTCCCCACCCCTCCTTTGAACCAAACATGGCGTAAATGTTCTTCCAATGTAAAGTAGCACGCGGATTAAGAAAGTGGAAATTGTGTGGTGGAAAATTGTGCAGAGGAGAGAGAAATGTTGTGAACCACAAATTCTTTGCCCGAAACGGAAAGTGAAATTCTTTTTTGGACAAACGAAAAGGGAAAGTTGGAAGTAAATTTAGGGACGGAAGGAGTTATATATTGAAAGTTGAAAGTGGAAACTAGTCATCCATTAATCCATATGAAAAAAGACTACCTTAGAGAATTCATTCAGGATCAATTCATTAAAGTTGAACATGAAACATCTACGACTGAAACGATGCTCTGGGGATTGATGAATGAATTACACACCATACGAAATACCCAAGCAAGCATATGAACAGAATATCTTTTTCATTTGCCTATATATTACTCAATAAAAATCTCGGGTAACTATGCACAGAGATATTCCGCTTCCTAACTTATTTTTTGACTGCCCCTGACTACATAGATGAATATTGTGGTTGCTACTCTCTACTACTGAGAAAGAAGAGAGAGGGAGCGTATAACTCGAGAATGAAAATCGGAGTTCCATGTACAAAATTCCAGCCAAAAGAGAAGCATTTTTTACTGACATCCTTTCAACTCCTTCCGAGCTGCGCAAAATATTGTTTGTCAGCATTGGCTAGGCGATCTTGGAACATTGCCCATTCCCCTCTGCATCTCTCTCTTACCTGCAAATTTAAAATTTATTGTTAACATCAAAACCATTGGCATTTACACTGTAAATTTGACTGTGAAACATACAGATGAACTAAGGTGTAGTTCGGTAAGACATGTACTGCTAATCTACACTAAATTTATTTTATTAAATTAGATTAGATGTCATTATGGTCTACCATTCTACCAAACTACACCCAAGTGACTAGGTGAGCTTGACATGCAATCCTGTGATTGCCCTGTTCTAATAATGTGTGTGTATAACATCCATGGGTAGACAAAAAGAGGAGTTGATAATAAGGCACCGGTGAAGGGAAAGAAAGGATTATCCACATACCCCTTGCCAAGGAGCTTTACCATCTTCAGACCGACCCTGCATATTGCATCAATAGAACAGTAAGGGTCCGTTTGGAATCAAGAAAAAAACTAGGGAAATAACATAGAGAAAAAATTCTCGGAAGTGATGGAATTCGGGGGGGGGGGGGGTAAAGGTATACTGACACTAAATATTTTTTTATAGATATTTATTTGAACTCATTTTATTTAACTTTGTTATATTAAGATAAAGAAATCTAAATATATGTAAAGTTTAATATTAGAAAATCATCATTCATTTTGATTTTGAATATTTTCAAATGTAAACCAAACATAAGAAAAAGACTTCGATTAGCTTCTGCTTTCCTTCATTGGCATTTGCAGCGACCAAAAAATGCCCCAAAAAGACTAGCGAAGGGGAAAAAAATGCAAATGAAATTATGCATTTATCCCTAGTTTGGGAAGCCCAGTAATTGTAGAGACATTGCCATAACTTCTTATTAGTGAATGTGGATTTTTCAGTGCCAAAGAAACTGCAAGCTATTTATGAGGATCTAGATCTGCAGACCGTATTACATGCAAGGAAAGATACAGTTGGAAATTAATTATTACTCAACCTGATTCCCTAGAGAAGGGATAACTTGATGAATAATCCACTGTGAATCAACTACACCAATCTTTTCATGAGCAGGCTGCATAGACCAATCACCAAAATAATAAGTTACAGAGAACACTTTTTAAAGTGATCTCCAAAATTCAATACTTAAATGCACCATGTGCAACATTTTTGCTATATCTTCTTACTATATCCGTCTGAAGAGTCGAATCAAATCATCATCATTCATCATTATCATCATTACCCCAGTGCCGCAAAGGCTCCCACCAGTGGGGGGGTGGGGGGGTCGGATGTACGCAGTCTTACCCCTGTACTAAAGCAGGGAGAGACTGTTTCTGAATGACCCATGGTGAAAATCGAAAATTGCAACAACTGACTGTTGCCTCATAACAAAGAAGCGCAGACAGTTTAGTGAGCCATTTTTCTTTATTCCATCATATTCTGAAGCCAAAAAATAGTGAATCTTTGGCTCCATTGCAAAGAGTCGAATCAAATAAATAAAGTAAATCAAAACTCCTATTCGTGCAATTATGGAGGATGAATAAAGAAATCCAAACCTCTACACATCGTCTGAGAGCAAAATCTAATCCCCATCCATGCACCAGGTCATTCTAAAAAGAGGATAAGCAAAGAGTATCATAATTTATCATGCAAAAATCATTTATGCTAAGCTGATAGCGCCATGGGTACACAAGGCAACCTGAGAATGTCAAACATTATGAAATACCTGAATCATATGCCAAACACACCGCCATGCGTCTCGAGAGAACACAGGAGCCATAATTTCTACAAAACTGGAGAGAGAAAGAGAGAGAGAGATCAGATGCAACTAAAAATGATAACAAAAAGTTCTAAAAAGTATCGTATGAGGGAAAAGAAAGAATACGCTGCACAGGGAGGCAAATGTGGATCACTGCACCATCCTGGTTTCTCATCTGTATCCCTGTTCATCCATCCAGAAAAATAGTTTTAAGACATGGAACAAAAAACAGCCATCTTAAAAAACATTTCGAGGGAGGTTGAACACAAAAGATGTACTTGTGGACTTCTTTGTCTCCTCTCCTTTTTGTCATCTGCCATGTCAATCCATTGTTTGGCTCTAATCCAGGCTGAGATATCTCCAGACCATGTTTCTTCACAAGTTGAATATACCTGGAATTTCAGGGGAGCAAATGTTAGTAAGAAATTATAGGAAAGAAAAACAAGTAAAGAGAAAACAAAAAATCAATCATTGAAATATACTTTTGTGCATTGAAGTGTTCTACTCCAAGATCTTCATCCCAAATAAATATGTAATCATAAGCAGCTACAACATCAGGATGCAAAAACCGCTTCGCATACCACCTAATAATGGAAAAGCATGAAGTATGAATATTATGTAGGAAAGATTATCTGTACCAAGAATATTTGGGGAAACATGAAACGTGTGAAAAAATCAGGAAGCATGAAATGTGTGAAGATTATAGATGATAACACGAAGTGTGTGAAGATCATGAAACAGTAAGACTGTGAAGATCGTGAAAGTACTGGTATACAACATTGTCCATACTTAACAGGGAAATAGTAGTGAAATACAAAAAGTGTGAATATTATGAAGCTGCAGAAAGACAGGAATTGCCCGTGTTTACGTCAGGCCTAGTAATTGAGGTAAGGCCCAATAACCTTAGGTTAGCATTCTATCTGCATCAGGAGCTATCACGTATGTGGTAGTCTAGTCCATAGTATACAAGATATCGCTTGTATTATGAATTTATTTAAAATAATGTTAATTAGTTATTGCTGATCATTACTAGTGAATTAAAGACTGCAAAGTATAATGGCACACGTTTGAATGAATATGTCTAATCGCATTGTGTTATCATCGCCTCTAAGTTGTTAGTGACTTGTGTTACTCACTCGGTGGTTACTCAGAGGCCAATCGAGAATGATTAGGACCAATTACTCTGTCATTTATTATAGTCACATTAAAAATATATACACTAACATCATTTACAAAATATTTAAAGAAGACCCCACCCAAGTCAAAGCCTAGGGTGCTTGTTTGGTTGGGGATTTTAGAGAGGAGATTTGTTTTTTGTTTTACTAATTTACTTATATTTTTTAATCTTAGATTAGAAAATAATTATATCTTCAGTCAAATAATGTATTTCTACATCAGATTTTCATGTTCACTTTCTTCATAACCATCTTGTGAAAGTAAATCTAAAAAATAACTAAATGTCTAACAGCACTTGTTCAGGCTACGTCCAATCCTCAGATTTTTAAACAATGAGCAACTCGGTTGGTAGTAACATGTAAAACGCTCAAAACTAAAATTCAAGAAAGCAGTAACTGATGTTTATTTAGGAACTTTATGTGCGTCGGACATACTTGAATAAAATTGTATTACCTTTTGAAGTATTATATTTGGAGATTTATGTATCATGAGGCTAAAGCAAAAAGCTTCACAAAATTAAAGTGAGCCACTGAGGCAAGATAATTGTTGAAATACACATGCAAGTAACTCAGTTTTGTGAAATCCTATCGACAAGGGGGAGTACTCAGTATGGTCTAGGTAATCGCTAATTTAATAACATAGTCCGCGTAGCATCTTGCCACGTAGGTTTGCACTTGCTAATTTGATAACACAGCATTCCATTGAGAGGGGGGGGAGTGAGGTAGAGAGGGAGAGGGAGAGGGAGTGAGAATTGTGATCTTGCAATCCCAGAGGGAAAAGGTTTATACACATTGACATCATACAGTTCAGCTAACCAAGAAATGGCTTCCAAAATTGTTTGTTTCTCTTGTCATTTACAAACTCTTCCACACATATTCCACAGATTACCTTCATCGCATGCCTATTTTGCAGATTCAGGCACAACACATATAGAATCATTCTACGTAATATAAAATCCTATGCCTTACCATTTTGTCTGCTTTCTAACACTGACATGAATTGCACGCTTTGACCACTCAAATTGATCCCATTCAGTTGTCCGACCATCATAATGGAAAAGCATAATTTGAAAATCTTCTGAAAACTAAAAATGGCATTACATTATAAAAATCAGTAAATAGAGTCCATTAATCTGATAATACGCATGCATCATGCATGTGTGTGTGCATATACATATACTCCCTCAGTCCCTTATAACTTTGCCATCTTTTTTTTTGTCCAAAAAACTTTGACACTTTCCTTTTTAATCAATGAATGTGTGGTTTCTATAATTTCTTACTCTTCTGCTTAAACCTCAACCACAAAGTTTTTACTTAAATATTTCTCGTGCCAATCAAACTTGGGAAAGTTTTGACGGATGGAGGGGAGTATATATAAGCAGCTTTGCTATTTCTTTCTTCATAAAACTCCTTCATTTATATAACCTTTTGAACAGCTGCATTGATATTATTCTTTTGATCCAAACCAACTGTGAATGTTACAAGGTACTTCGGCTTCATTTTCAGGTCCTGAAAATTACAACAATTATAATTTTCAAAGAAAGTGTTAAAAAAAATGCACTAAGATCATGCATAGAAGGAGTAGTATATAAAAATGATTCGAATTTGGAATGACTAGTACTAATAAAAGTACTTGTTCGCCATTACATATTTGTGAACCTTTAGCATACTTGGAAGTTGGAACTTATAGAGCTATATGGATACTTAATTACCAAAAAACTTTCACAATGCAGAGAACAATAAGGTAAATGATGTAATCTAGTCATGTTGAAAGGACAGTAGTCAGAAACAATTTTGTTCAAGTTCCAAAGAAAGTTGCATCTATAAGAAACTTTTCCAGCTATGGCACAAAGAAAAAGAATGAAACAAATTATACCAACGAAAATGGAAATATTAAAAACAAGATACTACAATAACCCCATATCAGAGTCAATAAAAGTATACAAGCAAGAGAGCATTAAGTACACCAAAGTGGCAGATTTGGGGAAAAAAATGAGTCATATCATCATTAGTTTACCTCGCTTGGTTCACCCCATAATCTACGTAGATAAAAATCAGATTCTGAAACTACAATTCCTGGTGGCAATGACTCTGCACCCCGAGGGTTGGAAGGAACATAGATCTGGAAGTTAATAGCAATACGAATAAAACATGATTCCTCTCTGAATGATACATTCATACAGCTCTAGTTCTCAACCTTACATAAAAACCATTTCTCACAGTTGTTCCATATATGCAAAGAGAAAGAGGATATATGTATGAAAGCATACAGGTTAACTGAAGTTGCAGATGTAAATGAGAAACAGAATAGCTAACTTATTTCAATTTTTAAGCGGGTACTATGTATTTCTAAAATATCATAATGCCAAAAAAGGATTAAAAAAACATGTCAAATGTACACAGTTTTCACTTCCGTTGGTACCAAACATTATGAGCATACTAATGACACATAAGAAAATGAAATCAGACTCATCTAACTTGGATAGAATTAAAGCTTAACAGGGGATTCCCAGCAAAACTGCCAATCAACTCGTTCTAATCTCCTGGATTTATACTTAACAAATCTAATAAACAATACTTGAGAAACAGCACAAGATATTGGATACGATACTCATCAAAAGTACATAAATAACCCAAGGCTAGGACAGGATGAGTGCTGAAATGGAAAATGTCTTGGAACAAATTGACAATGAAATACCTTAGGTGATAATGGAGTGCTACCCGAACCAAGATTTTCAGGAAAACTACGCTCAGTAAATCTCTGATGGTCCTCACCAAAGGCTACATCAAGAGATGATATAAGGCTTGAAGGTAAGTTAATCTGCACAATATCATTTAGCATAAAGTGGATGACAAGTATATATTACTTCACGATTCAGCACATGCATATCCACGAACTAGGTAACATACCTTGGCTAAAGAAAGTAATGGAAAGGAAATGCCTATAAAATATCCAAACACCATGCCCATGACTGTCGTGATAATAAGTCTGGCACTGTCATTCGATTTCCTAAAGCCAACACTGCAATTGAAAGGAATAAAAAAAACAAGAGGCCGATAAGTAAGACTGAGGGAGATAACAACTTCAGAAAATAATTATCTGATATCGGATCTAAGGACATAAATTTAAGTTGATTCTGCCAAAATATTTCAAGATAATAGCTAACCTGCGGTAAGGGGTTCCCATTGTGATAAAAAGCTTCCTACCCTAAAGGTCGTACACTAGGCTGAAACCAAATTCTTCGGCCAGCTTTTAAAACATAAATAGCATCCTCCACTCAATCAAGAAAACCTGAGTACCTGACATGCACCTACAAGTAAGATCATAAAATTCACACAACATTGTAATTCAACAAGACATCTTCATCAATTCAAAACTTGTTAAAATAATTATCACACTGATCTGCCAGGATCAAGCATCCACAAGCAATAAAAAAGTGTAAATTGCACTGTTATGATTCAACGAAGCAAGAAAACCCATCCAGATTTAATACTTCATTAAACAGTAAACCTTCCTCGATGATGCGATGCGTAAATGAAGTACTCGACAAATCGAATATAAAATCCAGTCCAAGCGATTGAAAATTCAAAAGTCGTGGAAAGCATAGAAAATTAGATGTTGAATTTGAAATGAAACAATGGGGATTTATATGGAAGATGAAGAAGAAAGCAGGGTTTGTGAATCTTACAGGTTTCACCGTTGGATTGGTAGAAGATGAAAGTAGAGGAGAAGAGAGATCATTTATAAGTTCACCTTCCGAAGATACGGGTGTGGATGAATGTTTTGACGATGTTGCAGTTAGTACGCCGCCCTCGTCACTCATATATGGGCTCGTTTACTTCATGTTAAAAACTTGATTATCCAGCAGGCGCTACCAAATTAGTCCATACCTTTTTTATAAATGAAAGAGTTTCTTCCTTTTAATCATCTAACTAATTATAGTAATAATAATAATAACAAGAATATTCTTAGAGCATCTCCAATGCTAAAACGTTAACGGTGCATACGTGGCATGGAAAATAACCAATTAAAAAACAATAAATACAATATCTCTCTCCTTATTTGAAGGATCTTACATCATTTTGGTAAGTTTTTCTTTACAATGTCAAGTACAATGTCTAGATGTAGACATTGTGATTGACATTGCAGACAAAAACTTACCATAAACACATAAGACCGTGGAAAGAAGGAGAGAGATCTTGTATTTATTGTTTTTTAATTGGTTAGTTCTCATGCCACGTATGCACCGTTAACGTTTTAGAATTGGAGATGCTCTTAGAACTCAAATTTGAAACATTCCATTCCAATTCTTATCCCACTATTATTATATAGATTCTAAATATTTATGTAAAAACCTTTGTAATTGTGATCTTATACGTGATTATATTACGGAGTATTAATCTTCACAAAATTTGAATATATTAGAGAAAACTTTTGTGAACTTCAAAATAGGAATTATATTTTCTATTACTTAAATAAGAGTAATTAATTTCATGTTATGGATAATACCAGACTTTAAACTTATCATAATTTTTCAAGGTTGACAGTAATTAGTTAATTAATCATATTTAGGTAATAAAAATATAAATCTCTTAGTTCCGAAATGTAGAACTCTTTTACGCATATTTCAATAATTTTTTCATGTGTTAATGATCTTCCCACTTAGGATGTTTTAAATTGAACATAAATTCTTCGGTCTGGTCTGATCTGACATGTGTCTATTCTATGTGTATCTTACAACTATCGAAGTCTGGTATAAGTTTATTAGATCTAGTCTAGTTTAAAATCAATTCAACTAATTTCAAACTCGGAGATGAATATTAGTGTCATTTTCACAAATTTCATTGTATTAAAATCGCAAAATTTTAAAGTTGGATAATATCAAGTGTTTGAGGGTGTTTTGTAAGTAGCGGATCTCTCTCTTTTTAGAAACAATAATTCATGTTAAACAATGATTTTTAGTATTTGGTAAGCGAATTTTCATTTCATTGTTTGATGAAGAAGTTTTGTATCCCTTTTTCTTTTATACGTAGTATCTGTTTGCATAAAAATGTTTGTTTAGAGTAAGTTATATTTGTATATGATGTTGTTTATTTTGTATGCATAATAAATGCTATAAATTGAGTAGAACAATCAATTTAATATTATTCTTGGGTTATATTGTTAATGAGAAACTTCATTTTTGTTAACATAAATATATTTCACAACTGATTTAAAAAATTGATAGAAAAGATATTTCAAGAGGCGACTTAGTGGCACGGATATTATTTTCTAACTTAATGATTAAGTCAGTTTTTATTGAATGGCTAAGTCTTGCTTTCAATTATGTCATAAGTAAATATAATATAATATAATGGTTGAACGATTAAGTCGTTATTCTCCATGTTGTCTTGTGTAATTAATGCATAGATTGTATTATTCACAACTCACAAGTATCATTATATGAATCATTATTTAGCCCGTGGGCTCATGAGACCGTGGGGGCGACCTATCCCATTTGCCAAAAAGCCTGACCCGGCTCATAAGGGCCATGGCCCGGCCCAACCCACTATTTGAAAGGGTGGACATGGAGTAGAATGTTTGAAACTCAAACCAACTCATTGGCTCTGCCTCTCAATACTCATCTCGACCCAGTCTATTGAACTAATTGAAAAAGTAATGTGAGTTACACTCCACAGCACGAATTACACTTACCAGTTACCACTGACTCATATTACATTTAAAGCAACATGAGTTACATTAAATTATAAGGGATTTACATCACCATAAACATTGAAAAAATTCATCCATGTTCTTTTAATTAACAGTTAAATGAAATGACGTCATTTTAATTTGAGAGTATGATCTTCATTTTAATGAATCGCTACCAATATAACAACTCTTTTTTTATCATCAAAACAGACTTCTATTCATATCAAAAGATCCAAAATCATTACATCAAGCAAAGGGGAAATAAAACTGACACCAACTGAAACTCCAACAACTACGACTGTAGCCCTATGATGAGACTTTGAGACGGTCACCCCTGAAAGAGCAACACGAATCGCTAACCATGTAGTGGGCTTGACACAGCCAAACATGTTCCCATAGATCCAATCATACTCAATGACATAAAGAGAGGCTAAAAACTCAAACAAATTGTCAAAACCAACAACAAAGATGAACACAAGAAAACAAATGACAAACATATAAAAATTATTAGGAAAACTTTCACGGACTCTAGCACCTCGTACAACTCATGGTGGTGGTTCAGGCGAAGGTCGGACCGTCGCTCAATTGATACCCTCTTTCAGTGGCGTACCCGTCATATGACCCAAATCCATGTCATCGAATGTAGCGTTCAACCTCTCCACGCTAACCATGTCCTGATCATCCTTACGTCTCTCTCTCGCTTCTTCCACCATCTTCTCGCTGCCACGATCATCATCCCGGGCTACGTCTAAACCACGGGCAATCCGGCGCAGAGCTGCGTCGATTGAAAGAAACGCCGCACCAGGGCGGCGAAGTAAAAACCCTACACGAGAGATATCGTTAGGGAAACACTGACCGAACTTCGATCAAGAAAGATCGAAATCGGAAATAACCTAGCGGCGGCTCTGCCCTAGGAGCTCTCTACGGCCCCAAGGGTGAGATTGTACCAATATAACAACTCTTGTTACTCTTTTTGTTTACAACGGGAAGAAGTTTTAGCATTCCAATTTTGTAAGTCTCCTTCTAGAATTAAGTGGATGAGTGCCGTGTATAATATGTTTATGACATTTGGCTACCTAAAATCGGTTGGGTTTGTTCCAACGGCTAGAAATAGAGAAATAGAAGTTTCTTACTACTTTCTCCCATTAACTTAGAACGGGAAATTTGACCGTACAATCAGTTGTATAATGTCCTACAATCCAATATTTTATGTTAAAAGAAATAAGCATAACATTTAAAAGAAATGGTATTAATATTGAATTATAAAATCAGAACAATCAATATTATGGTGACAATATGATTATAATATAGCTAAATGAATAAGTTGATTTGTAGCATATATATTACGTGAAGATTATTGATGGATTATATAGACTCCGACCCCCCGGTATGCTGACTACTGGGCCTGGACAGCGGCCCACACACGTTTAGCGGATTCATATTATTGTACATTATTTTTATTAAGATGTTCTAGATTAGCTTTTCATACTATCAGTCCATTTATGTAACCGGGTCTGTCAGGCCCATATTAGAAGCCCAGACCCGGATTTTCCCTATATATACTCCCTTATGTAAGGCTTGTAAAGACAACTCATAGAACTCATAGTTCATACTCTATACACATTCATCTCTTTCTCCACATTCTTTGTTCAAATCTCTTTAGTTATAGGATATGGGTATCAATTATCCAACAATGGTGCTCTCGTTGAGAGGTTGAACACAATCAAGTGAGAAAACCTCCCCAAAAATCCAAAAATTCTTCCCAATCACAAAAATTCAACCAAGAAACTGTTCTGAAAAAAAAAGAGAGAAAAAGCAACGGATCAGATAAGATATGAAAATTTGCATCTCGGATTTCTGACACAGAAGCCAGAGATGTCATCGCCGGAAAACTCATCGCCGTACCGGTCCCCGCCGAACGCCGACGGTAGAAGCTTGTCGCCTGCTGAAGTTGACCAGCCGTTCCCAGGTTTGGGCTGAAGTTGACCAGCCGTTCCCAGGTCTGAGCTGAGGCCGTCCCCCATGCCGTCCGCTGCAGCTTATAGCATCAGGTACGAGCTCCTCCGTCACGACCCTGTCAGCACCGATCTGAGCCGCTACGCCGCTGCACTGCTTTCCATCACGACACGACTAACGGAGCCTAAACTCCGGTCACCATCTCCACAATCATCGTTTTCAGCTTCTCGAGCTACACCTTTGGGTATTCACCATTAATGGCCGCAGGGGAGCTCTGTTCTCGAGCAAGTCAGCCAGAAGCCAATCTCCAGGCGGGGAACGCCGCAACTTCAGGAACCAGCCGGTCAAGGACGCCCCATGTTGAAGCTCCGCCGCGAGGAGAGCTAGTAGTCGCGACCAGGGCTAACTTTCCCTCCCCTGTGCCGGCGAAGACAGCTGCGAACGACCAGTCAAGCATGGTGGTCGGGGTCTTCCCTCTCCGCCTCTCAGCCCTCCGGACAGTAGGATCCGCATGAAACACCCATCGATTGTGCCATGGCTGCAGACCTCGTCCTCACCGACGTAATTCGCTTCGCCTGCGCCGGAGAAAGCTTCGACTCCAGTTGCATCTCCGACCGCCACCCCTCTTCTCTACCCGGTCACCTCACCGAAACTCTCCCACGCCAGCCATGTTGGGGTCCTCGCCAGTGGGTAGCAGCTGCCAATTTGATGATGGCGACAGGCTACCCGTATTGTCGCTGCCTACTTGCCTCTTGCCAGCCGTGGAATCCAATGAGGCATTTGGTGGATTGGGTCAAAATTATTAGGCTAAGCTACTCTAAAAAGGAATAAGGCCCAGGCAGTCAACTTTCAGCCCATAACCCAATCGAATGGGCTGGCCATCAACACGAAAATCCCAACTCTACTGGCCCAATCTATTATTTCAACAAGCAGCCCAATATTTCAGCCCATCAGAAGATAAGCACTCTTCCATTTTATATTATTTATATTTATTTAAATAATTTCTTTTATCTGTTAAATGTCACGCTATCACGCACTTATGATCAAATACCTAGTAGAGTGTGGCTTGAGACCCATCACTAGGATTTAAAGCCCTGACCTCTCAGGCACAAAGCCCTGGCCCTGACCCAGGCACAAAGCCCTGACCTCTCAGGCACAAAGCCCTGGCCCTGACCCAGGCACAAAGCCCTGACCTCTCAGGCACGAAGACCGGTCTTAGTCATTCCTCGAG